CATGTGGTGCTGGGGATCGAACCAAGGTCCCTGCATGCTTGCCCTAAGCTTGCCTAAGCAGGCGCTTTAGACCACTGAGTTATCTCACCAGCCCCGGGGCTTAAATTTGTGATCCTCCTGCCTCAGCCTCCAAGAGTGCTGGGATTGAAAGAGTACACCGACATGCCTCACATATTCGGTTCTGGTAAACGCGGAGAAGCTCTGTAATAACCCTTAAGAAATCAATGACAGGGGCCCGGGAGATGGCTCAGTGGAATAAGCGCTTCTCTGGCAAGTGCAAGGGCCTGAGTTCAATCCCCGGTTCTGCCAAAAAGAAAGAAAGCAATGACAGGGTAGAGGAAGAATTCATCTATTGAGAGCAGGTATTTGGGGGTGAGGGTGTAGGTGTAGCTTAGCAGGAGCACTTGCCTACCATGCCTGAGACCCTGGCACCAAAAATAACTAAGTAATTTTAGGGCCAGTGAGATAGCATAGGGACTGTGCCTAATTGAAATGGTGTTTTCAATCCTGGGCATGTGTGCCATGCCAGCCCAGACCCCAGGGCAGGCTGAAACAGCCACAAAAATAAATAAATATATATATATATATATATATATATATATATATATATATATTTTTTTTTTTTTTTAAATTTGAGTCATGGGGCCAGGGAGATGGCTCAGTGAAATAAGTGCTTCCCCGGCAAGCGCAAGGGCCTGAGTTCAATCCCTGGTTCCGCCAAAAAAAAAAAATAAATAAATAAAAATAAAAATAAATTTGAGTCAGGCTCTTGCTATGTATTTCTGGCTAGCCCTAAACTCACTTTGTAACCTAGGCTGGCCTCAAACTTGCAGCGATCCTCCTACCTCAGCCTCCCAAGTGCTGGGATGACAGGTATACACCTCACAATAAAAAATAACTTCTTGGGGTGGTACCAGGAATTGAGTTCAGAACACCTTGCTCTTGTCAGGCAGGCTCTATGCCGCTGAGCTCCACCCCTGGCCCCCAAAAATAATTTTGATGGCCAGTGAGATAGTTCAGTGGTCTAAAGTGCCCACTTAGGCAAGCGCGCAGGAACCACGGTTCAATCACGAGCACCACGTGCCATGCCAGCCCCGCCCCCAGGGTGGACTGAGCTGGCCACACACAAAAAGAATAATAATTTTGAAAAGGTTCATTGAGACCCCAGGTAATTTTTAGCTGCTCCCTGGCATACAGCTGAGATGAATCTATTGTCTGCAGTGCGCCCTCCCAGGGCCGAGCCCCAGCCACTGCCCCCCAGCACAGCCACTCACGGTACAGGGTGATGTTGGAGGAGGCTGTCACTTGCATGTCATCACACAACACAGAGCATATGATGGTGCTGTCCTCAGTCAAGTTGCTGAGCCAGAAGGTTGCCCAGCCTGGGCCGCTGCCATTCAGTTGCTTCGGCAGGAATGTCTCCAGTGTGAGGCGTGAGGGGTTAGGACACTCGGTGCTGCAGTTAACCAGGATGGGGCCTCCGGCTGCAGGCACTGCAGCTGGGGACTCCAGGTGCAGCGGGAACATCTGCCCCTGGTGACCTTGGGGAACATGTGGATGGCGTCCTGTGGTTTTTCCGTTGCCCACAATCTACCCAGCAAGAGGTGCCACCATCCCACACACACACGGTGAGGAAGACAGGATGAGTGAGGGCCAGCAGAGCTCACAGCAAGGCTGGGGAAGCCAGACCCAACCCACAGGAAGAGGGACGAAGGAAAGCATCCATCCCCGAGGAGGAGGCTGCCCTGGCCAGGTTTTATTTTTAGATAGAGTCTCACTGGGTATTCCAGGATGGCCTTGAACTCACTATGCAGCCCTGGCTGGCTTGGAACTCGCACTGAGTGCTGTGATGCCAGGCCTGCGCTGCCACACTTACTATGGCCAGTTTTGAAGGGTAAGAAGGAACTTGCCAAGCGAAAAGCAAGGTGACCTCAGCAGGAGGAGCAGCAGAGGCGAAGGGCAGTGCTGGAAAAGGGAGCACAGGGCTTGAGCAGGGACCCGGCAGATGAGCTAGGAGCCCTGACAGGTCTGAGTGTGACAGAGGGGTTCCCCTTTCCTGTGGCCTAGGCATCATGCAGCTCAACAGAGATGCTTCACTTCTGCTCCAGAGCCGCAGCGAGGCCCAGCCCCAGCCCGCCCAGCCTAGCCACCTCACCTCGGGGCAGCACACAGGACAGCAGCAGCACAAAGGCCCACGGTGTCATGCAGGGCCCCCACAGCAGCCTGGCAGGCATCATGGTGGCCACCAAAGAGGAAGGTGCCCTGAGGAGGTGCCTGTGGGCTGGGCGGAGGCGGAAGCCAGCAGTGGCAGAGGGTTGCACAAGTCAGTGCTGCACCTCGCCTGAACTGCAGCGGGGAGGGGAGGCCCCGGCTGAGCCTCAGGTGGGGGCCGGGAGTCAGCCCAGGGCCGGGGGGGGGGGCTCTCAGCTACACGGCTGGCTCCCGAAGGAGCCTGCAGGAAATGCTCAGATCATCGGCAGAAGCCTTTTGTCTCCAGTACTGAGAAACCTGGGGTGGGGGGTGTCTTCCGGGAGAATCTGGGTACAGGGAGTGTGATCACCTCACAGAGGAAGTTAACAGGAGGGCTCTGCGCTGAGGCCAAGAGGTGAGGTTTCCTTTTGTTTTGTTTTTCCTCAGTAGTGGGCGCGTTTTTTTGTCATTGTTCTGGTGTTGTGTTTGTACCAGGAATTGAACTCAGGACCTCACACTTGAGGTAAAAGAGCTCTATCCCTGGCCCCTTTTCTCAGTACTTTGGATTGCCCAGGCTGGCCTCAAACTCGCCCTCCTGCCCCAGTCTCGCCGAGGGCAGGATTGTAGGTGCACACACCTTCCTTTGGCTGTGCTGGTCAGCTGCACTTTGCAATACACACACTCTGCTGCTTAACCAGTACCACTCCTACTTCCAGAACATTTTCACCTTTCCCAACTGAACTCTAAGCCAAGAGAGGAGGCACATGCCTGAACCCCCAGCACCTGGGAAGCTGAGGCAGGAGGATCGCTGTGAGCTGGAAGCCAAGATAGGCTACACAGTGAGTTCAAGGCCCGCTTGAACCGCATAGGAAGAACATTTTTCAAAAAAAAGCAAACAGAAATTTTCATTAAATGCTAACTCCCCTTCTGCTCTGCGCCCTCCCCTCTTAGCTCCTGTTCTACTTTGTCTTAATGAATTTGCCTCTTCCAAAAGGAAATACACAAGGACTTTTCTGGGAGGCTGAAGCTGGGGGGTTACCAGTTCAAGTCTGGCCTAGGAAACATGATTCAGGGAGATCCTGTCTCTAAAAAAATAAAATAGGGACTGGGGAGACAGCTTAGTAGAATAAGCACTTGTTTGGCAAGCTCAAGGTCCTGAGTTTAATCTGTGGCACTGCAAAAAATAAATAAATAAATAAAATGAAATACAAAAACCTCGGTTGGGAAAATGTAAACTATTTACAGGACAGGAAGTGATACTGAGGAATTAAGGAATTACTGCTGAATTCTTTCTTTCTTTTTTCTTTTTTTGGCAGAACCAGGGATTGAACTCAGACCCTTGCGCTCGGCAGGCAAGCGCTTATTCTAAGGAGCCATCTCCCTGGCCCTGCTGCTGAATTCTTTTTGTGCCGATAATGGCACTGTCATTCAGCTTATGATTTTATCTTTCTAAGATGTACGCTGAAAATTTTACAAATACCGTGCTGATGATGCCTGAGATTTGCTTCAACGTGACTTAGGGACAGTCAGGTGTGGTGGTGCACACCCGTCATCCCAGCAGGTGAGGCAGGCAGGAGGTCAACCAGTTGTGAGTTTGAGGTCAACTTGGGCTCCATAGGGAGTTCAAAACCAACCTGACCAGGGCCTGGGGAGATGACTCAGTGGAATAAGCGCTTCCCTGGCAAGGGCTTGAGTTCAATTCCTGGTTCCGCAAAACAAAAAAACACCAACCTGACTAAAGCCCTGAGTTCAATCCCTGGTACCTTAGGGCTGGGGAATAGCTCAGCAGAATAAGTGCCTGCCTGGCAAAACCAGCCTGACTATATAATGAGACCCTGTCTCACAAAAAAAGAAATAAAGAAAATAAATCAGGAGCTGGGAGAGATGAGAGTGGTGATTTAGAGCAAGTTTGAGGGTTGGGAGCATAGACAGCTTAGTAGTACAGTAGAAGAAAAAGCACCCAGCCCTGGGCTCCACTCCCAGCAACAGAATAAATGAAGGGAGAAGGAGGGGACAGAGAGGGAGCAAATGTGGCATAAGGTGTCATATACATGGAGTCCCAGCTACTTGGGAGGCTGAGGCAGGAGAATCTCCTGAGCCCAGAAGTTCAAGGTCAACATGGGCAATGTAGCAAGACCTTTCTTGAAAAATAAAACAAGAGTGTCATAGTGTTAGCAGGCTGGTAATTAAGATGCAGTTTTATTACCTTTTTCCCCCTGTATTTAGGACAGGGTCTACAGGGTCTCACTACGTAGATCGGACACAGTGATTTTTTCCTGTTTTCAGCCTCTCAAGAGCTGGGATTACAGGTGCGTGCCACCACGCCTGGTCTCAATCGCTGTCTCGGCGCACCCCATAGCAGGCCAGAGATCAAACCCCAGCCACTGTACTCTGCCTAAATAGATTCTTTAGTCCACTGAGCTATCAGACTGGCCCTCTTTCTTTTTTAAAAATGTATTTGGTTGTTGCAGGGTCTGACTGTGCAGCTTGGACTTGTGGGGATCCTCCTGATTTTAGTCTCCCCAGCGCTGGGATTATAGGCGTGCGCCACCACGCCTGGACTCTGGCCTGCTCGGCCCACCCTGGGATGGGGCTAGAGCGGCATGTGGTGCCAGGGATCAAACCATGGTTGCTGTGCTTGGCTAAGCGGGCACTTCAGTCCGCTGAGCTATCTCCCTGGCCCCCTCCAGTTTTTGTTTGTTTGTTTGTGAGACAAGGTTTTGCTCTGTAGTTCAGTCTGGCTTTAAAGTTGCTATGTATGGGCCGGCCAAATAGCTCAGCGGATTTAAGCACCTGTGTCAGCCCTGTCCCCAGGGCACGCTAAAACAGCAACTGAGACTGGGTGTGGTGGCGCGCGCCTGTAATCCCAGCCTCTGGGAGGATGTAAACAGGTGGATCACTAGGAGTCTGATCTCGTAGTGAGACCCATATAACCCAGTCTGACTTGAACTTGAGGCAATCCCCCTGCCTCAGCCTCTTGAGTGCTGGGATGACAGGCATGCACCACCTCACCTAGCTTCTCCCTACTTCTGAATATGCTTTACATTATGCATAGCGAAGGTTTTAAACAGTAAATGATATAACCACACAAACTCTGCATGTGGGTACCAATTGCGGCTTTACACATAATCGCCGAAACTCAGAAACAACCAGGTTTCTTTTAGGTGGAGAGTGGATAAACTGGTACATCGAGACAGTGCAGCAGTACTCACTGCAAACAAAACCGAGAGTGGTGCCACACACTGGTAATCCCAGGCACTCAGGAGGCTGAGGCAGGAGGAGTAAGGTGCAAGCCTAGACTAAGCAATTCAGAGAAGCTGTCTGAAAATAAAACGTGAGCAGGGCTTGGTGGTTTAGTGCTGCAACTCTTGCTCAGCACGAGGGAGGCCCTGGGCTCCTGCCTAGCACCCCAGTCCCAAGAACAGGAAGGACGGAGGGCAGGCAGGCGGCAAGGAGGGAAGACAGGAGGGAGGGGAAAAACACTGTGAGCAAGCTCTGGAGCCACAGACGTAAGTGAAAGGAACATCAACTCATTTTATAAGGCTACAGCAGCCAATCTGAAAGTACTACATGTTGTGCAGTTCCAGCTCTATTGCACAAGATAGCTGCGAAACAGCTGGAGCTACATGGCCGGCCCACTGTATTGCCTGCCTTCTGGACTAGATCCGCCCTCTGAGTTAAACTGTAACCTAGGGCCAGGATCGCCAGGCCAGATAGAAAGAGAACAAGCAAGGGATCACCCAGCTGACACGCTGAAGACTACGCTGCATCTGGCCTTCAGCGGCCCTTGGCCAACCCCGGCCCTCGTTCCCATGTCACCAGTACTCCATTCTTTTTTTTCTTTTCTGATACGCCATTCTTACCCAGCTGTCCTCCACCAGCTCTGGGTGCCACGGCAGTTCCTCCGGAGACCCTAAGGGGTCAGGAACTCCACCAAACATCTGACATCCCAGCACTCAGGAGGCTGAGGCAGGAGGATCGCCGTGAGCCGGAGGCTAGCCTGGGCTACATAGTGAGTCCAAAGCTACTGCGGACTACATAGTGAGACTCAGTTTCAAAAAAACAAAAACCAAGCCAAAAATCAAAAACCAATACCCATTGTTTATTAAGCACCAGTCTGCAGGTCTCTACACTAAGCAATGTAAATGCGTCACTGTAGAGAGCCTATACCGCGAATCGCGGCATCAGAACCAAATCCCTAGAGACCACTGGGTGAGGCCTGCTGCAACCCTTGGAGCCTGTGCTAGATTACCCCTCCCATCGAGCATGCTAAGATGGCGCTCATTTCCTGCTTCCGCGTTTGCTGTACACCCCATCTATGATGATGTAAGATGCCCTCCCTGAG